TCATCCCCCTGGTCGTCTTGGCTTAATAATCCATGGCATTCCGGACCAGGTCAATGCTCAAGTTCTCTTTGCTTTAATTGTTACCCATGGGTTTTCAACAGTTTTGGCATATGCATCCACTCCTGAGGTACCAGGTGCTTCTGCACTGTTTAACTGGCCAAACCTTCCCATAGAAGCTGTATCTCTCTACATTTTTATTGCCCTGTGCAGTATTGCACCGTCTCAGAACAGCTAAATCAGAATTTTTATTATAGATCAAAACTTCAGACTCTTTCTAGTTATTTTTCTTACATCTTTCAGTAGTTTATAATAGACATATCTAAGAATTTCAGCTGACTGGCCAGTGAGCTGCTCTTTTTTCCTGTGGTCTTTTCCATAGCACGGTTATTTATACCTGTCTGTAATTACTTATGCTCTAGACCCACAGCAATGCTAAACTATTTGCTCCTGTAATTCACCTTCACCCTTCCATTCTATTTCCTGTAATAGAAATTATTCTCACCTTTTAATAGAAATCGCCTCACCTTTTAAGATGCATTTGAGGTAGTAAGATATCTCCTTTACCTCATTCTCACACTCCTCTTTTGTTTGTTCTGAAGACTTATCTTTTAAATGGAGCAAGTCTGTGATTGTTCATGGGTAGAACAGGGAAGAAGCATTTATTTATTTAGCCTGCTTCTGATGGTGACTCTGCATGTCACACCTAATTTAATTTTCCAGTTCTCGAGATGTTAAGACTTAGAGGTACGTTGGGGATTTCTTCAGTTTAAGCTATAGAGGTACAGGAGGCAGCTCGCAGTTGGGGAAGCGTGAGGGAAGTTCTTCGGTGAGAGGTGATTCAGAGCAGAAGCCCATCGCGGTGGTCTGAATTTGCCTCTGCTGTGAAAAGCGCTCTCAGCTGACTCTAGGGCAAAGCGATCTCCTTCGGCAGGAATTAACCTTTGTGAATATAGCTTTTCTGCTTTCCCTGTCCGCTCATATGTATTCTCAGTGTTGTTGGACTGTCGTGGAGACTTCTGGGTCTGAGTGTATCCGAGGAGGGAGAAATCTGAAGAAGAAAAATGAACTTGTCAGATGGGACTGCTATGTTATCATCAACTTAAATTTGTGGTTAATCTTACCGAAATGACCTGCTCTGCACTCAAAATCCATGACCTGCCCAGAATGACGAGTTGGTTTAGTGGTTAAGAACCTGGGGGCGGGTTTTGGAAGCTCCAATGAAATTTGATGGTCGAGGTTTTCCTAAAGTTCACTTATTACTTTTCTTTTTTTTCTTCCCCCTCCCCCCTCTTTCCCCATCTCCACCAAGTCTTCCATCCCGTGGAATGTTCGTATTGCCGGTGTGAGAGCATGATGGGTTTCCGGTACCGATGCCAGCAGTGCCACAACTACCAGCTCTGTCAAAACTGTTTTTGGCGTGGCCATGCAAATGGTCCTCATAGCAACCAGCATCAGATGAAGGAGCATTCCTCTTGGGTAACTCACCTTTGTTTGTCATGCTGAAACAACCACCTCTGTACTAATTTATTCTGAAAATTAAAGTTTTTTATAGTAGAACTGCACAGTAGGACTTTTAAAGGTTTTCAAATAGCAAAAGCATATAAATAGGTGAACTGTACTGTTTTTATTACAAGTAACATTATTAATTTACAGATGATTGTTATTGTATTCAGTGCTCTTTAAAGCACACAAGGCAGCACAGTCCTTCTCAAGGCTTTAACACATTTTCTTCCCCTCTTCACGTCAGTCCTACTTTTCTTATATTTTCCTCTCTTTTAGCTTAAAAAGACTGAAAGGTTGCAATACCTTTCCTCCCCAGAAAGGTAAAGGGGTTAGCATGAATGCTGTGCTTAGAAAGGAACTTTATCCAAGTGGCATCTTTAAAGATAGTATTTCTTTAAGAGAAAAATTTAGTATTGTCATTGTCCTGACAATTGTAAATATATGCATTGAAAACTCTTAACTCAAAAGCCTTAAAGAAATTATATGAGAAATAACATTCAGTTGGATGACTATATGATAATCACATCTCAAGAAATAATAGGCAATTTTAGATATAAAAACCTATTTTATGCCAAAGGATTAAGCCCAACCTTTTACTTATTCAAAGAGAAGTTCAAATGATGATGGGATTATAATTAGTAATTACCTTCATGAGGAAGAGTCATTATAGTATTACTGTTTAATTTAGAAAATTGGGGCTTAATACCATTCAGTAGTTGGAAGGCGAAGATAGGAAAATTTGGAGTTAAATTATGTCCTTTTTTTAACTATGTGGGTAATAAACTTCTGGAATGTTTAATCTGAGCTACCAGTAGATTATTATCCCCTTAAGTATATATAAATGCAGTCTGCATTTTTTAATACAAAGACGTATCTAAATAGTAGCTCTAACTCTAATGTAGATATTTCCTTCTGAAGTCTCTGACCTGTGTTTGCAGCGAGTCAGGTTAGACGGACTGAGCCCCATTCTGGTACTAGGATCTGTGAATCTGTCATCCCGTCTTGTTTCAGTGTTAACTTTTGGGGCATTTGATTCTTACTAGGCTGTACAGAAGAAGTTGATTTTAAGATATAATGTGAATTGGAGGAGTGGGACGTTATACAAATGCAAAAGGAGGATATTCAGACTGTCACTCTTCTGGCAAATGAAACAGTGCAGGTTGTTGCATGATCTGAACTGCAGGACTGTCAGAACAACCCCTAGCTTTAGCGTGGACCAAACAGCACTCTCCCAAGCAGCTCCTGAGGTAAGGTTTAGGAAGCTCCGAAGGTAAGGTTTAGGAGTTGACACAGGCGAGGAGCCATGCCTGCTTAGACAACCTGGGTGCAGCCACCTCGCTTTGGAGATGAAGAATTCAGATTATCTGCCATCAGGACCAGGTAGTGGCTCTGGAACGGCTTCCTTCCGTACTCTTCATGCAGAAGAATAAGAGGGAATTGCACATACAGAAGCAACGCTAAACAAAGCACAGACTGGAAGCAGATTATTACTGGAAGCAGTACTGGGAAACAGAGTTTTTATGGAACAAAAGGGAGGAATGTATGAAAGAAAATAATGATCTTTGGCAACCTTGAAAGAGATTTTAATATCTTACTAATGAAAACATTGATACATAAAAACAACTGGTCCAGAAGTCTGTAGAAGGAATTTTAGTAGCAGCGAATTTGGCTGTCTTACACAGAAACAAGATGTAACTCATACTAGTAAGCAATTGCAGCAGTAGGTGAAATGGAAGGAACACTTTTAAAAGGTGTGCTTATGTAAATCTGTTATGTTTGTAGGAGGTGTGTATAGTACAACTATGGAGTTATGCCTGGACATGAGCCAAAAGAAAAAAAGGCATGAAGAGTGAAGGAGATATTTACATTTCTTGTTCAGCATAGTCAGAATCCAAATCAAAGAAAGAAATTAAGAGGCTAGAGGTTGTCTAAAGGTGAAGCAAAGACAAAAGATGGAAATCAAGGACAAAAATTGAGAAATCTGAGGGATTTCAGTAAACAGTAAGGCAGTCATAAGGAGCACTTATATTCCTGTAGTCTAAAGTAATATTTCTGGCTCTTGCTCTAGAAACTTATTTCTGAGCCTTTTTAACCATTTGCTCGTTTTTTTAAGCATCAAAGTGTTTTAAGTGGACTAAAAAATTCAGGGATATATAAAATACTACTACAGACTGAGTTGTCTCCTATAAACTGAGCATGGAAGAGGGATCTTTTGAGAGAGAGGTCTCTTACATTTTTTCTTTTACTCTTTTTTTAACTTTTGCAAGTCTTGCGTGTTAATTTTCTGAAAATTGAAAATTAGTCTTAATTTTAAAAAATATATCTTAGTTTGGGATTTGGACTATATTACTGCTAGGTAAATGACAGACAAGGAAATCTGTCAGTTGGTGAGGTCAGGGAATCTGAGTGTCTTTTTCACGTCAGTCCTCAGTAGGACACTTCTGCCTTCCCTAGCCGGGTGACTCGTACTGCTGGTAAAGGGGCAAAGCTGAACCTGATAAAAAGATGAAGAACATCCAGCAAAGGGAATGAATTTGAAGGTGTCTATTCTGGATCACTTATGTTTTCAAAAAAGATGCAGTTCAGTACAGAAAATTGCAAAGTTCTCAGGTGGGACTAAGCAGCCGCAAAGTTTCATGAAGGATACATGGCCAGGGAGCAGTGCCGCAGAGGACAGTTTGGGGAATGGCTTTAAACTAAAGGGGGGTAGATTTAGACTAGATAGAAGGAAGGCATTTTTTACGCTGAGGGTGGCGAGACACTGGCCCAGGTTGCCCAGAGAGGTGGTGGATGCCCCGTCCCTGGAAACATTCCAGGTCAGGTTGGACGGGGCTCTGAGCAACCTGCTCTAGTTGCAGATGTCCCTGCCCACGGCAGGGGGGTTGGACTAGGTGACCTTTAGAGGTCCCTTCCAACCCAAACTGTTCTATGATTCTATGAATATGGTTGCTTACGAACTGAACAGCATCAGCAATGTCAAACTGTTGTGAAAACACTATATTGGTATCTAGAAAGGAAGACGTGACTGCAAAATGCGCATCGCAACTCTTTCGTTCTGCTCAGCACTGGCGCAGCCTCAGCTGAAATAGCATGACCTACTTACGTGTTTACTCACCAACAATTTCTTGAGTGAAGACTCAAAGACTCCTGCTGTCCAGATCTGCAGAGATTAGCTGGTTCTCTGATACAGTAAAAAGAGAAATTTCTTTTTCCTGGGTTTTCAAGTCAGCCAGATCTAGTTCAGTCTTGGGTGGTATATTTTCAGAGCTTCAGAGCCCTAAGACCCGGAATAAGCATTAATAATAAATATTTTCATAAGGTTCTTTTTCCTGAAATTCTGAAGTGCCTTTGATAATTTTTTGATACTATAAATCACATAGTATCATGATTTTTTATAATTATGTAATATATATTATTATAAAATATATATGTGTGTAAGTTCAGGTAGAAACCTTTTTTTTTGAAAGGGAGGTATTGCTGTATGAACACACTGCTTGTTGGGGCCTGTTTGGAGGAAAAAAAACAACAACCTTCAAACACTTTCCAAATTTTCCCTTCTGGGCTATTTCAATTTTGGTTGTTATTAAATAGCTTTAAACACTGATTCATTTAGTTATGTATGCGCAGCAGAACTGAAAATCAAATTGTTCATTTTGAAAGCGTGTAGATTAGTCATTGTTCATTCTGTTTGTTTATTTTTTGTTTAGTCTGCTAAACTTAAGCAGTCTCTGTCATCCATAAATTCCAGGTAAAATGTTAAAATAGCCAAGTTACCCTAAGGCCTTGTACCCCAGGGTGTAAGTTTTGGTGGCTTATTATCAACCGTAGTTAAGTTAGAATGCTCTTCCTGCTATAAATAATGGAACGTTTGTTATTTATAACCACCCTTAACATGGTGGCTTCGGAATATGTATCAACAAACCAAACCAATGTTTAGTTGTTTCTATAGTGATAATATCCATGGCTTCCGTTGGGAAGTCATTATACTGGGTACTAATCGAATCTAAAACAGAAGACAGACCCTTTTATCTACCGAGTTAGTCTAGCAATACTGTAAGTAGCTGTTAATAAGATTTTGCTCTCAGAATTACCTCTCTTATTTCTGGTTCATTTCATTTCCCACTTAGACTACCTTAAAGTTATTAAAAATTTTTGAACATGTTTTTGTTCAGTCCCCCAGAAACAAGCCGAAAGGGAGCGCGGCGTTAGTGTGCTCTGCATCCCTGTCACGTTGCTGTCTGTGTGTGGACTTCCACCATCACATGGGCTCCTGTTTTCAAATGACGTGAAAAAACCTCCTTTTATAACTCAGCATTTTCCAGCAGAGGGCACGCTGCCCTCACGCACAGATACAGGCCTGGACATCTGGGGTGACTGCGTACCTTCTCTGCTGAGAGCTGGAGGCAGATATGGGTGCTTTAGCTTCCTTCTTGCAATACCATTTCTGTGTAGGTATTATACTCGCTTCACTTACCATATTGGCTTCTTTCTACTGAATCCACTTGGCTGCTTAGCACAATTCCTCTGCTGGGAGAAGAAGGAAAGTTCTCTGTGCACTGACTTTGAAAATTTTTTTGCTTGCTTACCCATTTTCAGTATAGAAGAAGGGTGGATATGCTGCCTTACTTTGTGTTTACACCCTGTGTAGTTTACAGTTACGATATTACAAGTAATACCAGTAAAATGAGGCAGATATTGGAGGGGGCGGGGGGAAGAGAGAGAGAGAAACAGATAACTTTAAAATCTCAATTTCCAAACAAGTGTTCTTGCCAACCAAGTTTCAGTTCAGTTTTTATTGCTTACAAATTTCTAAGCCCATTGTAACAAGTGTTTACTAGACCCTTTTGGTAGAGGTGGATGTGATTTATAAATAGACAATTAGAAAAAGGTAGAAAGACAACTTTTGGTAATGTAGTTTGTAGTTTCCAGCTTTTTAATTCCATGATGGAAGTATTATTTTTTCTTAACAGATG